GGAGGGGGAGGGGGAGGGGGGGGGAATGGGCAGTTACAAAGGGGAGGGAGTTATACCCTCAAGGAACCGTATCGAAAGCGACAAATTCTTCGACATAATTTGGCAAGGAATTTTCATCACCTTTGTCCGAAGGACCAAGAGGACAGGAATTCTCGCAGGTAAAGACGTATACCGAGGCAAAATCTGGAGAAGCCTCACCAACTCTATCCAATTTCAAATGAAGAAGCAATTGAGGCGTTATCTGAAATAGAATGTGAACGCAAAACACGAAGCGTACCTGAAACTCAAAGGTTCTCTTGCCACCACACTTTAAGCAGTTTGGTGGTGTAATGGGGTTGGGAGAGGCCCAAAGTGGTGTGCCTCCACGTTCAAAACGAATAACCTAGAATAAAGTAAACAGAAAATCGATAGCTCTACTTGATCAGGTTCTTTTTTAAGGACCTCCTTAAATCGATTGAAAAAGAGTTCTTCCCTAGTCTCCTTGCGGGCAACTTCTTCTAAAGCCTTTAATTCTTCTCCGTCATCACTATAATCGGAGAAAGAGAGGGAGGAGGTTAGATGCAAATTCGTCAACTCTGTTTAGCAAAATCATTATTCAAGCCTTGCAAAAGAGAAGGGGTTTCCAATGATATGAGATTTAAATTTAAAGAAACAATAATTAAAGTTAGCAAACGTTCAAATTTGATTAGAATATGCTGACAGATGTAATTAGTTTTGATGAAGCCCAGGAAAAACCATCTAGGGGGGGGGGGGGGGGGAGGAAAGCTCAAACGGAAACCAGATCATATACTCGATCGGTGGGGCCAAATAATCACCTGCCAACCTGCAGGTATCAAAATTTTTCACTTCGTTTAATTGTTCTTCGACCTCCTAACTCGTATATTGAACCTTCATCAATTCCATATCTAGCAGATCAATTGCTGCGAAGGCACCTTAGAGACGATAAAGAGCAATAGCCAGTACAGTAAGAAGTAACCACTACTCTAATAGGCCCTATCCTACGAGTTTCACTTTAAATTAAGGTCCCAATGAGACGCGGTAACATGACAACGATTGAATTTCTCCAGTCCTCTAGTTTGTCTATTTAATTACTTTAAAATAAGATAAAACTATACAGTGACCTAGATCTCACGTGTTTGCTCTGGTTCTTAATAATGCGCAATACATCGAACTAGGCATGAAATGACAAAAAGGGGGAGAGATTTGTTCCTAGGTTAATGGCTTCTATAGTTATAAAAGTTGGATTTCTAAAAGGCAAATTTATCATACATATCTCAATAATTTGAACGATAATATTATTATTAATAGCTAGTTCACATAAGATCCTTGTGACAAACTTTAACAAAACGATTGACATCTTACTCTGCATTTGGTTCGAAGTCTGATTCTTCAAAGTCGTCGCCCATGCTCGTGTTATCCTCTGGGTCTTTATCAAGTGTAGTAGAGGAAAGAAGAAACTCGGGGAGAAGAAAAGAGTTCGAGAGAAACATCTCATTTAGATAGTCGAATTGGGGGCACTTGGTCTTGTGACTTTGTTTCCAGTGAATAGTCTGAAAATAAGGTGAGAAATTAGGATAAATACAAGCATTAATGAAAAAATCAAGAAATGGCATTAATGAACCTGATGCTCTTTGGAACAATAGTAGGCCTTCTTGCAAAGTATACAGCATTTTGTTCCAGGGCATCCACAAATAGGACAAAGATTTACAAGAACTCCAGCTGTGGGAGCTCTGCAAGAGCGAAGCGTATCAACCATACCCTTTTCCGTTAAATTATCTAAATCGGACGGTGGATTTGAACTAAAAGAAAAAAGTATTTAAAAATATTAAAATCAAGAGAAAACCTATAAAATCGATTATTTCTTGGAAGTTGTGATCGATAAACTCTGAATGGCGGGGGATTGTGTCTGTTAGATGGCAGAAAACAGCTTCCATTTTTGCACATAAACACAAATAGCGTACGATGAAAGCAGTCTTTCCGTTCGTCAAGAGGCGAATATAATTGTAGGAGGAAGGCCATGGGAAGTTGACATTGAGCACACTGAGTATTTTGAGGTAAGCCGGTTAATGCAAGCCAAGCAGGACGACCACCAACTTTGTCAGGAAATAAATGGGAGACCAGGCGGAAAGGTTCCTCAAATTCAACAAATCCAAAACTAATAGTAGACATTTTGCCTTGAGAAAAAGGACTAAACAGAAAAAGAAGCGCACGACTGCAAGGAGAACAATTGAACCAACGAGAAAATCAACGGCCTTGTAAAATGAATTACGCTCCATAAAAACAGAATAAAGAAAAAAGAAAATCCATAAATATGACAAAAAATAATAAAATTTTACAAAATATAAAATAAAAATAATAATAAACATATGAATCATTTGAAAATAAAAAGTCAAAAAAAGAAGACGAAGTAAAAAAGAAACAAATTAAATAAAAATGAATAAAGAAAAAGATTAATATAAATTAACTAATAAATCAAAACAAATGAACGTAACAAAATAGATGTTCAAAAAATAGCAATTCAAAATAAAATTAAGATAAATAAATAAGTGATGGTAAGTTCAGAAATTGGCGTAAGGGGCGCTATCCGGACAACATCAGAGGCAATGCAAGAAATGGTCATTGGAGAGCATGTTCCACCCTAGTGGATAGAGTGGTTGGATGAGGAGGGGAGAGAAGAGAGAAGAGGAGGGATCAATTCCCGGTCGCGGAGTGATCACTTTTCCACCCACACCCCCACCACACCACAACACTATTCTCATCGAATTCTACCCTCCTTATTGACTCGTGTCTTCAGCCATCTCTTTCACCCTCTCCCTCACCTTCACCCATTTCTCCACTTTCCTGGTGTGCATCGCATTCATCCTCTTGGTTGGTCGCCTACGAATATGACCGCCACGAGGGCTTGGGTGGCTGTTGCAATGATCGGTGGAAGGAGGGAGGGTTAGTGGCATAAAAGGTGCTCGCTCGCACACGCGCACTCGCCACGCCCAACGTGGGGCTCGAACCCACGACCCCGAGATTAAGAGTC